ATAACTAAATAGGCCAATAATGCTATATTCTAAATTAAATATTAACTCAAACTTACCTAAAAATGTCAAGTCTGCATAGAATTTATTCATGTAATATATATGCTAAGGATAAAATTACCAGTTTGGCTAGCAGACGATAGATGTGTATATCAATGAAAAATTTTCATTTTGCACACCTTCATGTGAGGGAAGTGTGACCTGCGCAGTGAACACAGCAGACAAATAAACAAAATGATATTTTGAATTTTATATATAGATATTTCACAGTAGTGTGTGTGTGCTGAATCTTTCAAGTGTAAATGAACGTGAAAGTTTAAATTTACATTGGTATTATATTGGTATTTAACATTCCTATTTAAAGATTACCTTAATAAGTTACAGTACTTACCTTTTGGAAAAAGAGCTTCAGCTTGCATCAGACAACTTTCTAAACCACAGTCAGGTTGAGACTGAATAATTTCCTCTCGGTTTTCTGAAAAGAAAGTTTTATCACGATTTTTTAACTTTTGATTAAATACAACAAGGTCTCTTCTAAATGTAAAAGCTCTTTTCACATGTTAATTCTCTTCAGAATATGAAAAGTAATACTTAAAGAGTTAAAGCATATTAACATTGGTATTACTGCAAGTACATTTTTTTATAACAGAGAGAGAGAAGTGAAAGGTCATCTGGATTATTTCATTATTAATGTAGAATAGTAACAACACTAATATTGCAATGGTATGGCACATGCTTCTGAAATCAATGCAAAAGAAAAAATTAAATTAAATTAAAAAGGAAGTTCAATGATGCTCATATGATTGTAGTAAATGAATTGTCATTGAGTAAGCTTTACTAACAGATTGTTCTCATGAAGAAGAATAGTTTGAATTTATCCAGAACATTTAAGAATGATATACCATGTGATAAGCTTGTTGGTGTCATTGCTGATTAACTAAAGAGGATATTTGCAGAAAGGGGTTCCAAGTGTAAATTATGTTTTTGTTTTAACTGGCTATGGAACAGATGTGACTGGGAGAAATAACATAATTATATACTATAAGCATATTTCTGCAAGTGTGGTAGTGAATCATCTGATACAATCAGCTGAACAAGATCAATGTCACGCTCAAAGAATCTTGAACACAACCAAGAATTTGCATGAAAAAGTTGATAAAGTATCTTGAGATTGGTTTTGAGACAAGTGCTTATGTAGCAGATGCCAGTGTTAATATGGGAGCTACAGAATGGGTAGATGCTCTCTTGAAATGTGAAATTGGACAGCTTATACACAAAGGATTAAATTAGCAATGTTAAGTTCTCAAAGATCAGTTCCAATGACTGTTAAAGTATATGACCTTCTGCAGTTGCTGTAGAAAACCTACCACTTCAGTCCAAAATGTAAGCACGAGTTGAAAGCCATAATTAGGACATTTTTGGTTGTAAAGACAAAGTGCTGGCTTTTATAGGGTGTTGGCTATTTTCCTGCAGTCAAATTATGAGAATCTTGCTATTGGACAAGGATAGTATACTGCTGTGCATTATCACAAAAATGCAGGCATAAGAGGAAGAGAAAAAATATGATCTACAGGAAATGGAAAAACTTTCTTTTGTAGGGTTTTGCCACTTCTTACATAATCTCTTTTCAGAGGTTTCAGTGCAGCTTTACACTCCAGAAGAATAGTTTAATTCTTCTTTCCCAGGCTGTTACAGCAACTGAGAAATGTGTTTTAATAATTAAAAAGTTGAAATGAAAAGCCATTACAAAATGGCAAACTACAGAAATGTTTGCAACATGTGGATTCTAGCCCCAGGTGGATACACAACAGTAGTATCAGTCAGGAAGCAGGAGTGAGAGGGTTACCAGAAATAGCTTTATGAGTATCACATTGCAGGACATTAAACTAAAGGGCTTCATGACATTTTTAAAAATGACTTCAAACTACAAATTTAAAAAACTGTTGAAAGTTATAATTTTCCCACACTGAAAATGTATTTCCGATAAATGCTTACCTCCTCTCACATAAATAGCTATTCTCATTCCGTGCTGCCATCTATATGGAAAAAAATTTTGCATGCCACAAGCCTTTTATCTCCCCTCCATTGGAATTGACTAATTCCAATGCCTCTCTCATGCAAATCATCATGTGTCAACCCTTCACCCAGGAACCAACATCCAGGCAGTGGTAGGATTGGGAAAAGCCAGCCAGAGAAGTGAACTGCATGTGGTAGATCTGTCCAGTCCAGAACTGGGTGACATCAGGAATTTATCTTCTGGTCTGCAGTAGGAGGAGAGTACTCACCACCTACACAAACAGAACACCACTGCCCTACTCTCAACTGAATGGAAGCAGTCACACTTAGGAGGAACCCACCAAGGTCCACCATCCCAGCATCTAGGAACTGGTAAGTGGCAAGGACTCCCACACTCCAATGAAAAGGGGGGGGGGGGCAATGTAATGGCAAGTTCAGAAGAATGCAACATCATAAGACAGTGCAATGGGTGACTGCTTAAAAACCTTATTTTAAAAAGTAGGTCAGTCTCAGTTTATTCAACTAGGACCAGAGGAATATCCAGCAATCCCGACATTGTCTTACTTCAT